TATAGGGACAGAAACAAGTTGTAGTGAAAATTAATATAATATTGTAATTACTGTTTTTCCTACAAACTGTTTGTCTCTCTACTACAACTTTAAAGAATATGTACTGCAAATTCTTCTTAAAAATTACTTTTCATTGTAGCATATCTCTATACAATAATTAAAAAAATATATACAAAATTGTAGCATATTTGTTTACAACTGAAACGCAAATAAATATTCAATAAAAATTGCTACATTTTATCTTTATATTTTCTACAAAATTTATTTAATCTTACTACATTTTGTAATGAAATTCACGAAATTGTTGTTGTAAACATTTTATTCAAATTGTAAGGAATTTGTCTGAGCCTCTGTCGATATTTCTCCTACAATTTACCACTACAATTTTATAGTCAAATTTAAGTTTACCGTTAGTTAACCTTACTACAAATTTGAGTTTCATTTTCTACAATATGACCTCTACAACGTTATAGTAATTTGACAATATGACAATTCTGTAATGATTTATATTGAGCTTAGTTTTTTGAATTCTTAAACATCACAAAGTTTTATCCTTTAATGTTCTTAAATTTAACTTTTAATAAAGTTGTGACCGAAAAGAATGTGTTCATTCAATCTTATGGATGAATTGACTGAAAATGTTTTGTTCTTGCGTCATTTTGATAAAGATCGAGGAATTCTGTTTTTACCCCTTCAAAAAGCACTCCATAAATTAAATTTGATTGCTCAGGAGAATACATGTAATGTGTTTCTCATGTTTTGTGTAGGTACGTTATAAAAACATTGGCGGAGAAATGAGTTTGATCGCATGGGAATCCCCCAAACTCGCTATTTATCATATTTACAGAAATAATAAAAAATTGTGTGCTTGTATATACATAACACCCTTTTAGCCACTAAAAGAATTTAAATACTTCGAGTTTTATGATACTTTTTAAACGGACATGTTCTCAACAAGCTCCAGTAAAAACATGTAAGGAGATCGGGCTGAAACTATAGCTACAAGCTATCCAAGGATGGTACTATAGAATGTCACCTCAAGGTAGGCCTAGTGGCGTCATCTCTTGGTTAGGCCGGAAACTTATCAATCCACCCTCGTATATANTTGTTTTTCAGTTCTAGGAAGAAAGTTACACTGAACACTTAGTAGTTTGAGTATATAATAACTAACTTGACTTCATGAAAAATCAGTACAGTTCTCGTCAGTGTAGCGAGAAGATCAGTCTGTCATTGACTAAACAACTTACTAATGTCGTTTGAAAAGTTACACTTTCATTAAAATGTCTGATAAATCAGCGAAAGAAATTTTTTATGATAAAGTAAAACCAATTATTGATAGTTAAATGTGTAGAAAATAAATCGAAATTCATTTGTTTAATGAATAACTTTTCGCTTTTTCATTCATTCATTCGTATATCATATGCTCGACAATACAAGTGTTCAGTGCAACTTTCTTCCTAGAACTGAAAAACAATTATAAGAAATTTAATATTGTTGAAATGATTCGGCGAGAAAAACCGAACCCATCTTTAGTATCCAATTATAGATGTCAATAATTGAATTGTTTCCTAAAAACTGAAAAATGGTTTGAAATTCATTTGTTTTATAAGTACAATATAAATCTTATTGTACGTAGGTAGAAAGCGGCAAATAATACAAGTCGAACATTAAGTACGCGTTGTGAGCGTTCAACAATTGACAAAACGCGTTCCGGCTGTTTAACAGTTACCAGAACGCGTTGAGAGCGTTTAAAAACAGCCAAAACGCGTTCTGAGCGTTCGAAGGCAGCCAGAACGCGATGTGGCCGTTTTTTCCGGCCACTGAGCGTTTTCGGTCTTCGAGCCTAACACCTATATCACAGTCATTCTCAAATCAATTAACTATTAATCTGTGACACCGGTGCTAAGGTTTTAAATTTGATAAGTTTTATCTTTTTTTTAACATGCTTTTTATTGAACTCATTTCGAAAATTCTGCTTTACAGAGATTATCCTAATAAAAAGAAAAAGACAGATAAATAAACCGTATAAAGAAATTGTAAGGATTTGATATTTACAGTCTACAGTCTCTTGCATTGGCTTCAAAATCATTACAAAACCAACAGAGCTTTTGCTTCAGTTCGTTGTGAAGTAAATTATTTGAATTTGAAATTAAACATCACGGTACTAAGTAGCTTTAGCAGCCCGAAAACTTTTAGACACTTTAGAAGCTTATACAAAGTGATCTCGGCTTAAGTTCTTAAACTCAGTTACAAGTTGTTCGACAGAGTTTCGAGCAAGGAACTAACCACCAGGAATTTTTCCGTTCTGTGGTCTCTTTCAGCAGAGGAGACGCTTGTTGGTGGTAAAATTGAATTGCAAGTAGTGGCGTATCGGGTTTGGCAGGGACCGATGGGATATACATTACAATAGACACTCTTCCGCCAAATATACGTTGAATAAGCCCAATCAGATTAGAAATCCTGCTACTACTTTGACACTGACAGAGATTAAAACAGCACCGAGACCAAGGAACTTCTCTAACTTAATTTGTCACAGATAGAGATAGTTCATCAGGATATTTCACAGAAAATGTAATCGTTATAATGCTTCGAATGTTATACGAATGAGTATGTAATTAAACCATTCTCCTCATTATGTAGTAAATCTCAGTTTGTTAGCTATAAATGTTTCAATTTAATTTTAATATTCTTTTTAGTCGTTAGAGATAGATTTGCTTATCTTATTTTATTATATTGGAAATTTCAAAAATTTCAAATGTCTACAAGTTACCAATAACGACCACTTTTGTTAATTTTATTATCGATGCTTTTCAATTGATGCAGATTCATACCTTGTTGGGGTTTCCCCTTATTGGCTTCTGGCTTGTATTCTTTTGTTGCATACAAGATATTGGTACTGGCAACAGAACAATTTTTGATTTTGTCACATAATTTAGAGTTAGTTACGTTTTGTCCTTCTCGTTAACTTGCGTTTCTTCGTTGTGTCTGTAGTTGTCATCTGTTATTTCATAGTTAATAATTCGTTTGTAAATAAAGTCTGTGTATAGTTTTTTATATCGAGTTTCATTCTTTCCGCTAAAACCACATCTTCAGAAAATACTGCTCGTGATTTCACGGAAAATAATAACATTTACTATTTTTTGGTCCTACTGACTTAAACTGTTTTGATTTAGTTTTTCCTTAACTTATTTTTGATTTTATTCAATTAAAACAATAACAAATAATTATGTATATCCCAGTTAAATTAAATTTTAAATACAATAATAGAAGTAATTTTTATCGCGTGTACTTCTTTCAGGCAGTCCATTAAAAGCTGCCTTTTTAGTTTCTGCTTACTTATCTTATCGTTCTAGACAAGCCTTTTATGAGAAGTCCTTTTAAATATTAAGGATTTGCCGCCGCGAATATCGAGTATCCATTGTTACACCTTCTCTGTCAAGTGTTCACAGAGGAAGTGTTTGATAAAAATTACAAAACTACGGAAGAAATCGTCTGCATACGAAGTTTTAAAAAAGATCTAAACGGGCGTT